CCAGCCCGGGCCCCTCGCGGCCACCGGGCGCCGCTGCTTCATTCATTCAGCCCACGTTAGCTGAGCGCTTAGGCTGTGCCAGGCGCGGTGCCAGGCGCTGGGGATATCGCGGAGGATCGGTGGGGACCTAGCTCTCCGGGGCTCAAGTTCTAAGCGGGAGGTGTGGCTGGAGGGAGGCGTGTAATCCACCGGTAACGACGAGAGTAAGCGCGCTGTCTTCGCAAACACCCGGAGATGGAGGCTGGAGAGGCCAGTCTGCGGGGTGGGCGTGCGGGAAAGGCCGCTGTGAGGAGGTGGTGACGTCTGAGGTCCTGGAGGAGCCCTGCGGCGCTGGGAGCAGGCGGAGGAAAGGCCGCAGAGAGGAAACCCTGGCCACATGAGGCCGGGCCTTAGTCCTTTGGTTGATCTCTCCGCCTTACCCCCACCCTCCCCTACCTTCCCTCTGAGGAGGTTTGACGGTCTGATGGATGCTTCTCTGCCTCTGGATCTGTTTTTGTTCATTAGTTTATGTTGTTCATTATATTCATATTTCTTAAAGATCTTTTTGGCGGCTGTTGGAGGTTAGACGTGTGTATGTGTGTATGTATGTGTGTCTATGTATGTGCATGTGTGTGCACGTGTATACAGGTCTCTGGGTCTGTGCGCGTGTGCATATGTTCATATGCACATGTATGTGTACGTACGTATGTATGTATGCTTGCATGTGTGTGTGTGTGTGTGTGTCTGTGTGAGTATCACAGTGGAAACAGGGAGACCAGTTGCAGTGTTGCAGGGGACAGGTCCCTGGATGCACTTGGGTGGAAGCGACAGCTTCAGGCACCTCTTGCTCTTGCCTTCCATCCAGGTAGCATTTTGAGAGAACAGTGGCCTGAGCTGCACCAGGCCCACTTCATCAGGTGACCTCACTCCCCAAATCCCGGGAAAAGTGACCTGCAAGCCCCTGGTGCTCTCTGATCAGGTGGCCCGGACAGGAGGACCATGTGGTTCAGACAGCTGGTGGACAAGGAGAACAGGGGAGAGCCCAGCCCCTGGACAGCAAGACCCAGGTGCCAGTTCCTAGGAGGGCTTTGGCTGCACAGACTAGAGGCATGTAGAGGCACCGTTGTTTGTTTGCTGAGGGTTCCTGGTAAATACATGAGGGTTCATGGTAAATACAGGAGGCTGTAAATAATGGAGCAGCTCTCTTGGCTTGCTCAGGTTTCCCAAGGAACAAGGTGACCGTGAGCAGCAGCCCGCCAGCATCATTTGCCTGCTGAAGGGTGGAATGAGGCCGTGGAGTTGCTGAGCAGCTGAAGACAGCTTCCATCCCAGGGGCTGCAGCGGGGGCCATGCTCTAGCACCTGCTGTGGAGATTTAACTTTCTTGCTGGTGAAAACTGTGGTCAGTTGATGAGAAATGTGCAGTTTCCCTGGTTTTCCACCAGATCTTGCCCAACAGGAAATATTAATGTCTTGGGCACTTGTGATAGGCCAAGTGGCATGCACAACCCTTGCATTTATGATCTCGATCCTTGCAACGACCAGATGAGAGTAACTGTTGTGCTCTTTGCCTTTTACCTGGTTTGACATGTTCTAGCAGCATGTCCTTGGATAAGCCCTTGACCTCTCCATGATAGTTTGCTCATGGAGACAATATTTGTTCTAAATTTGTAAGGCAGGGGTCCTTAGGAGTCCCTAAGACTTTTCAGAGGGCCACAAGGCCAAATTGTTTTCATGATAACACATGATATTATCTGCCCTATTCATGCTCATTCTCATGTGACTGCACATGGAGTTCTATTGAAGCAAATACAACAGAATGACCTTGGGTAGTGCATCTATTGAATGCAGAAGCAGTTAGGAGAGTCCAAATGCCTCCTATTGAGCCAGAAATTATGGAGACTTGCTAAAAGGTAACAGTGCCACCCTT